TGCATTTTTCTGAAATGGCATCAAGAGGCTGCATGCATTCGGCAGACGCATTTTGCTCTGTCTGCGGCCAATTTATCAAGACAAGAGCGAAAAAGTAGTCTGTGGAAGCATCTGCTAAGATGTGTGAGGCCTACAAGGCATATTTCGGCATGCCTGTCGGGGATCAAGAGAAACCCTGGGCACCTCATTTCACCTGCGAGCAATGCAACAAAAACTCTGCAAGGGAAGATGGACAATTGTTGCTCGGAATTTTATGTCATAAAATCTGTTTAAAATGTTTTATTGTTATTGAAAAAATATATCATATATGAAAAAATGTTGCGAAAATCTCTTACACATTAGTCATGAGTGAAATAAATTAATTTTTGTAGGATGGTACAGAGGGGAAAAGAGAGCCATGAAGTTCGCTATTCCAATAATTTTGCGGGAACCCACTGACCACTCAAGCAACTGCTACTTCTGCATGGTGGACCCTTCCAAACGTCGTACTGGCAAGAATGCACCTGCTATCACGTATCCGGACCTTCCTTCATCCATCGCCCCGGTGCCACACTGCCATGAGCTCCCCGTACCCACTCCTCCGGAGAGAGAGCAGCCGTCTTTAGAAGAGAGCAGCAAGTCAGAGAGTGAGGAAGATGTTGTAGATCCAGATGACTATTTCAGAGGTGGAGCTGAGGAGAGAAACCCATACTACCTCAACCAAAAAGCCCTCAACGACTTGATCAGATATCTTGGTCTCACCAAGTCCATTGCCGAACTTTTGACGTCTCGGCTAAATCAGTGGAACTTGTTGGATAAAAGTGTGCAAGTCGCAGATCAGAGGAATCGTTGCCAACCTTTTTGCAGCTTCTTCACCCGTAAAGATGGGCTCTGATTCTGCCACAATGTGACCAGTCTGTTCGAGGCAATCGGAATCGCCTGTAACCAGAATGAGTGGCGCCTCTTCATTGACAGCTCATCCAGGAGCCTCAAAGCGGTGCTGCTCCATAATGATAACAAGTACCCGTCTCTTCCCCTGGCTCACTCGGTACACCTCAAAGAGGATTACAACAGCATCAAGACCTTGCTGGATGCCTTGAAGTATGATGAGTACCGCTGGGAGGTCATCGGAAACTTCAAAATGGTGACATTCCTGATGGGTCTCCAAGGCGGTTTTACCAAGTTTCCCTGCTATCTTTGCCTTTGGGACAGCAGGGACACCAAGGCGTACTACCACAGGCAGGACTGGCTACAGCGGACCGAGTTCTCTGTGGGGAGGAACAACGTCAAGTGGGAGCCACTGGTGGCCCCCAGGAAGGTGCTGATGCCACCACTGCACATCAAATTGGGCCTTATGAAACAATTTGTCAGAGCTGTAGATAAGGAGTCGGCAGCCTTCAAGTACCTTCAAGACTTCTTCCCTAAACTGTCTGAGCCAAAGGTCCTGGAGTGCAATTAATACACCAAGAAGCTCACTAGTAAGGAGAAAGCGGCTTGGAACAGCTTTGTCGCAGTGGTTCGTGGCTTCCTGGGCAATCACAAGGTCGAAAACTATGTGGAGCTGGTTGAGACTCTGGTAAAGAACTACGGTACAATGGGCTGTAGATTGTCCCTCAAAGTCCATATCCTTGATGCTCATCTTGATAAATTCAAGAAGAACATCGGAGCATACTCGGAGGAGCAAGGCGAGCACTTCCACCAGGATATACTGGACTTTGAACGCCGCTACCAAGGACAGTATAACGAGAACATGATGGGAGACTACATTTGGGGGCTGTTTCGTGAAAGTGATTTACAATATAATCGTAAATCTAAAAAAGACTACTCACATCTAAATATTTCGTAGTAATGTTTAAATTTAGTATAAATACATGTTAATTTTGATTCATGTTGTTTTTTTCTGACGTTAATGGGAACGAAAATATATAAATTCGCCCGTTTTCTCATTGAAAATAGGTCAATTTCAAAATATCACTGTCCTGGTCACAAAAGCAAAGTTTGTGGGGAAAATTTGCCATTTCCTATACTTTTTAGGCATAAGCAATTACAAAATAACACTTACTACCCACGAACAAAAATTGTGCTACACAGTGCTATGGACAAATGTGTTGATAAATATCAACACATTTGTCCATAGCACTGTGGCCCGAGCAGGAAATAAAAACAATACAACACGCGACGTTTCGGGCAACGGCCCTTCTTCGCAGAAAAAAACATTATTTACGCATTCGACGATTTAAGTTTTTGTTGCGTCATTTATGTTTAAAAAAACAAAAGGCAGTCTTTAATGAGGAATTGGGTGCCTTGTGTCTGTTCTCACAACGCACGCGTGCGTGACGGGGGAGTGGTGGCGCAGTGGTGAGCGCACTGCGTGACGAAGCCGGCCACCCGAGTTCGATTCCCGTTCACGGCCAACCAACACCGGTGAGGATTATCTGAACCGGTCCTGGGCCTCATCCCCTTAGGTCGACTCAACCTATAAATGAGTACCTGCTGCGGCCGGCCGAGGCTCTCGTGTGCCGTGCAGGCCCTAACAGGCGTCGCAACCTTCCCCGGCAGTCTTTTAGGAGGCTATACGGAGCCACGTTTCGCCTTTGTGTTAGCGATGTGCCCGTTCTATCGGTACCCATTCATCACGCGAGGAAACCCGGTCGTGTCTGCTCGGCGGAGTCTCAACGTATCATTCATGGAGTGTCCTAATGCGGCCGTAATTGATGCGCCGAGACTCGAGGAATAATTTTGGTCGTTCGTTCCGAAAAAAAAGGTGGGGGGGGGGGGGGTGGGTTGGAGGGGGGGGGGGGGGACAGCTCGCGGTGAGAATGCTGAGGATGCTGAGGGTAGACCCGGCACACACAACGACAAAGATCCCCCCGTGTAGCCTTCGGGCACACTGTTGGGGGCAGATGGCTGTTGAAGGCACGAGGAGGCGTTGTGGCCATCGAACAAAGGCGGTCACCGCATCGGGCGCGTTCAGATGCGCTGCTGCGGCCGTCTGGAACGCTCTTCCCTTCCGATATTAGGAAGCCACCGAGAGCTGTTCACTTTCAAATAATCTCGATTGAAGACGAATTTCTTTAGGACTGCTTTTTTTGTGTTTGTTAGTCTGTTGTCCTTCCGCCGCACCTCCGATTAGTTCGGTTGGCTCGGTACGGTGCCAAAGAAGTTCAACATGCACACACACAAACGTGTAACACGCACAAAACACACACAACAGCGCGCAGCAACAACAACAACAACAACAAACAACAATCGTCATTCGCCACTGAGTGGTGGCGGTGACGTCACCACGGCGCTCGTGCCAGGCTAGGTGCACCTCGCGGAAGGCGAATCAAAATGCAGTGTTATTATTCACTAGGTTTTTTTGTTTGGGTGGGCGTTGGAGGGTTTTGTTCTATTAATTATTCCCGTTAATTCTACTTTGCGCGCCACCGCCAACGCAGCAGCAGCAGCAGCAGCATCACCGATATAATTTCTTAGCTTCGGGTGCTCCCCCACCTCCGCCGCTCATCCTCCTCCCCCTCTCTCTCCCATCCCATCGCACACCTCGCTATAGTAAATTACGGTAACCCACCCCCACCCACACCCACGCCACCACCACCACCCCCCACCCCACCCCACTCCCCTTTCCTCTCATCTCACGTCCCTGGTATTTCCGAAGGCCAATGGACTCGCCGTTAAAAATACATCGAGGAACATCGCGCTTATGAATTTGCCGTCGTAAGATTCGATTTGGAAATCTGCTCTCGCTAGCTCTCCCTCCTGTGTGTCTCTCCCTCTCTATATATAAATATATTTTACGGCTTTTTTCTCCCCCCCTCTTAAGCAATCTCTCCAATTTCCTCGGCTTTTTCCCCCCCTCCCTCCCTCCCTCCCCATATATATTTGATTATTTTCTGTCATTGGATTATTATTTTTTTGTATCTCCCCTTTTGATGAAAAGCACTCAAGTCACAACGGCCTCGCGCTCTCTCTCTCTCTTTTCCGCGGGGCTGTTCACGCGTAAAAACGTGGTCTCGGCGAATTTCCCTTTCCTTAATCGTTCTCGCCCCGTGAACGGTTCTAGTCGAGCAAGCCCTGCACCCGAGGCGCGCACACCCACGCTGCTTTGAACATCCTGAGTTCAACAGGGGATGCGAACATCCTGAGTTCAACAGGGGATGCGGGTGCGTGGCTGTTGAAGGCGTCGCAAGACCCAATACGCCTCTTTGTCTCCCGCGAATGGCGATGTTCGCCACGTGTCCACGAGACGTGCATTTGGCAGTCGAACCGAGGGCCCAGGACCGGTCACCATGAATTTTCGCCCAGTGAGAAGCTGCTGCTTATCCAACAACAGCATCACATGTTCGTTGTTTACGTGTCATGCGTAGTTGTTAGACGGATGATGATGGTGATGATGATGAAGATTCTGCCGTTTAGACAGTTAGTTGCCCGGCTATGTGACACGGGAATTCCGTGAAGTTGCGTGCCTGAGCGCGGCGGGCAACAGGAGCGACTTAACGAGGGAAAAAACGAACCCCCCCCCCGTGAACATCGCGGAGAATGAGCACAGCGAGGTCCTTGAGGGATATTGTACACCTCGCAAGCCGGGATGTTCAACGGTCGGTGAAATAAACAGACGCTGATAGTTTGACTCGGCCTCAAGCGATCTGTCAACATCGCTACTAGGGAGACAAAGGCGGCCGAGCGTGGTGCTGACAACACAACCGCCTCGTGGTGCCGTGCCGGCCTTCATAGGTGCTCGCAAACGGCGCTTGCCCCGAGCGGTCTGTTAAAAGGGCTATACGTGGTGGTGGCGGTGGCGGAAGGGGATATCCATCGTGCTCGTTCGTTTTTTCGGTAAAGTCAGGTAGGTAAAAAAAAAAAAGTTGATTTGATGTATTTTATTTTGTATTTTATTTTTTTAACTTTCATTATTATTTTTTTTACCCACGTGACTTCACCGAAAGAACCAAAGAGTATGGATCCTTGCCGTCACGACAACTTCAAATCTAGAATTGATATCCATTGTGCTTGTCGTGCAGACGGGAGTGCAGTCTTCCGCGGCTGTTTCCAAACCCCGGAGAATCTGTCGCTGGCTCTTCCTGTCGTCGCACTCATCCATAACCTCACTGTGGGCGCCTGCGTTGACTTCTGCACTCAGAAGGTGAGGACTGGTGGACGCCACGGTGGTGAGGAGATGTTTACTACCTCGCCAGGTGTACAGGAGGTCGTGGGTTCGAGCCCGACCCTGGCGCCTGCTGCTGTACATTTGGAGTTATCATGTCTCTCTCTCTCTATCTCTCTTTCCCTGTGGTCGTGTGGATTGTTTTTTCGCGTCCTCCGATTTTTTCCTTCCCACGTTTTGGACTCAACATCACGCGTTTAGAATGTTTGGCTGCTTGGCAATGTCCACGTGATGATAAGTCCACTTCTTTGAGCCGTCGTTTGCGATATCCAGGTCGCTTCTGGGAAAAGAGGCGTGTAGCAGCTCAGTCGGGCCTTGCCTGGTCATTGCAACCAGCCTCATCAGCCGAAAACCTGATGAGGTTGTCGCCTGGAGTCGTGACGTTAACTACCTCGTCTGGTATGCAGGAGGCCGTGGGTTCGATCTCGATCCTGACGATGCCTGCTGTGCATTTAGAGATTGCGGTGTCTCTCTCCCCGTGGGAGCGTGGAATTTGCTCTGGGTCCTCCGGTTTTTTTTTTTTACCTCCACGTTTAGAATCGGCGTGCTTCTAGATTATTTGGCCGCTATAAATGTCCACGTGACAAGCCACTTCGTTGAGCTGTCATTTGTGGCGAGGTCGATTTTGACAAAAAGGAGCTATACAGCTCAGGGGGCCTCACCGGGTAAAATAAAGCAGTTGATTCGTTTAAATAGTGACGTACTTGCGAATGCATGTACACCAACAGCATTAACAATTCGAGCACCCCAGACTGACAATGTTTGTTATGGGGTTTGGGGGGGGGGGGTTGGTCAAGAGAAGTCGGAGGGAAATCCATGCAGAGCAGGGGGAGAACATTCGTACACACCGCACATTCACGTACACACCGCACATTCACGTACACAGAGACAAAGATTTGCACTCTGTGTGGGGGAAGTGCTGTTAACGAGCGGCGCCTCTGAAGCACGGCACGGCACGCGAGTGGATGGGGTTGATGGCACCACGCCCGGCCGCCTTTGTCTCCCAAATGACGATGTCCACGAGATATTAATTGCAAGATGAGTCGAGGCCCAGGACCCGTTCGTGATAATCGTCACCGGTGTTGGCCGTGCGTGGGCCCCAGCGCGCTAGCCGCTCCGCTACAGTCTCCCCGGACACGCAAAGGCAAAGATCCCCCGGTAGAGCCCTGACCAGAGTGTTGTGACTCCGATGCACCACACCCTGGAGAACAGAGGGCTCGGCAAACGCACATCGCAAGAAGAGCCATTTTTGTTTGTTGTTGTTGTTGAATTCGGTGGAACAAAACAAAACATCCCCGTCACTGTTTCAAGAGAGCCGTGATTGCGCGCGATGAACACGAGACGGTGGGTCCTTAATCATGAACAACGTCGCACAGGCAAGCCCTACGGCAGCGTGCAGGCCCCTGTGCTGTAGCAGTGGTGGGGTGCCGGCGTGGACCTGCAGAGCTACCCCGGCCCCAACCACGGCACCCCGAGTCGCGACTCGAACCCGGGGTAGAGGGGGGGGGCGAACTCACTCGGCCTACCCGGCGAAGCGTGACATCGCTCACTGTGGTCGTTGTTCCCCTCATTATCCTCCTTATCCTCCTCATCCCTCCTCCTCAACTTCCTCAACTTGCCCCTCATTATTATCCTCCTCATCGTCCTGCTCCTCCTCCAACTCATCATCCTCATCCTCCTGCTCCTCCTACTCCTCATCATCCTCCTCATCCCCTCTCATCCTCATCCTCCTCATCCTCCTACTCATCCTCTTACTCCTCATCCTCCTGCTCCTCCTACTCCTCATAATCCTCCTCATCCTCCTCATCCTCCTCCTCATCCCCCTCCTCCTCCTACTCATCCTCCTACTCATCCTCCTACTCCTCCTCATCCTCCTCATCCTCCACCCCTTCCTCCTCCTCATCCTCCTCATCCTCCTGCTCCTCCTCATCCTCCGGCCCCTCCTCATCCTCCTCATCCTCCTGCTCCTCCTACTCATCATCCTCCTCCTCCTCCCCCTCCTACTCATCCCCGTACCCCTCCTCGCGCTCCTCCCCCGCGTGCTCCCAGGAGTTGGTGCTGGCGGCCGTGGGTGCGGGTCCGCTGCTGTGCCGCTGCGGGGTGGCCACGCCGCGGTTCACGCTGCGGGAGCCACGCGCCGAGCGCCTCTGCGGCGCCTCGCGCTGCCCCGGCGAGCCCAGCGAGGCGTGCGGCAGCGACTCGCACGTGAGCGTCTACCAGACTCAGGTGTCCGGTGAGTCTGTGTGAGTCTCTCTGTGTGTGTGTGTGTGTGTGTTGAGAGTCTGTGTGGGTCTCTGTGTGTGTGTGTGGGTGTGTGAGAGTCCGTGTGTGTCTGTGTGTGAGTCTGTCTTTGTTTGTGTGTGTGTGAGTCTGTGTGTGTCTGTGTGTGTGTGAGTCTGTGTGTGTGTGTGAGTCTGTGTGTGTGTCTCTGTGTGTGGGGAGCGGTAGTGTAGCGGTTAGCGCGCTGCGCTACGAACCTGGCGACCCGGGTTCGATTCCCGCTCACGGCCAACACCAGTGACGATTATCTGAACCGGTCCCGGGCCTCGCCTAGGTCGACTCAGCCTCAAATGAGTAACTGGTGCGGTGTGTAAACATCGTCACTAGGGAGACAAAGGCGGTCGGGCCTGGTGCTGGCCACCCACCCCCTCGTGTACCGTTCCGGCCTTCATAGGTGCTCGCTAACAGCACTTGCCCCTACAGTCTGTTAAGGCTATACGGGGGATCTTTGTCTTTGTGTCTCTGTGTGTGTTTGTAAGTCTGTGTCTGCCCAGGTATTTCCCATACATGGGGAGCATCCTCGCCGGTTAGAAACATTTAGGTTGGCCTGCCTACGATCCATCCTGGATTGTGTGAGGAGCTCATAAATCCTTGAAAGATCTGGGCAAAGTCCCATCGGTGAGCTCCTCCGGCATGCAAGGCTGCGTTGGCTGGATCATGTAGCCCGCATGCCTAAACAGCTTTTGTTCGGCCGGATCGAGGGAGCTAAACGGGCGCGGCACGGGCTAGAGAAGAGATGGAGTGATGTGGTACAGGAGGACGTGGAGCTGAGTGGACTTGCCGATGACTGGTACCAGCGGTGTCAAGATCGGCCTCTGTGGAGGAGGCTCGTGAAGGACGCTACTGGACAGTTGGAGGCAGTCGCCCTCCAACAACAACGGAGGGCGTAGGAACGACGCTCACAACAACGAGCGGAGCGCCGGGTGGCTAAAGCACAGCAAGTTGGCACTGTAGGGGGCACAGGTGGTGCATCAGCTACTAATCTCAGTCATCTCAGTCAGCCGACCGGTGGCAACTGGGTCTGCCCCGTGACCTCCTGCCAGCGGGCGTTCGACACTTCACGTGGCCTCAAGGTGCACATGGCCTGGCACAAGCGTCGTGGTGACGTCACCGCTACTTAGTGGCGAATGGCGGTTGTTGTTGTCTGTGTGTGTCTGCGTCTGTGTGTGTGTGAGTCTGTGTGTTTGTGTCTGTATGTGTATTTGTTTTTGTGTGTTTGTGTGTGTGTCTTTGTTTGTCTGGTTGTCTGTGTGTGTGTCTGTGTGCCTCTGTGTGTGAGTTTGTGTGGATCTGTGAACCGGTTCTGGGCCTCCTCAAGGTCGACTCAGCCTCAAATAAGTATCTGGTCCGCTGTGTAAACATCGCCACTGGGGAGACAAAAGCGGACGGGCGTGGTGCTGGCCACCCACCCCCTCGTGTGCAGTGCTGGTCATCATTTGCGCTCGCTAACAGCTGGCACAGTAGGGGGCACGGGTGGTACATCGGCCTGTCATCTCAGTCAGTCACGTGGGTTTGTCCCGCGACATCCTGCCAGCGAGTGCACCTAGCCTGGCACAGGCACCGTGGTGACGTCACCGCAAACGTAGTGGCGAATCGCGGTTGTTGTTGTTGTTGTGAGGTTGTGTGTGTGTGTGTGAGAGTCTCTGTGTCTGTGTGTGAGTCTCTGTGTGTGGGGAGCGTTAGTGTAGCGGTTATGATTCCCGCTCACGGCCAACACCGGTGACGATTTATCTGAACCGGTCCCGGGCCTTCCCTAGGTCGACTCAGCCTCAAATGAGTACCTGGTGCGGTGTGTAAGCATCGCCACTGGGGAGACAAAGGCGGCCGGGCGTGGTGCTGGCCACCCACCTCGTCGTGCGCCGTGCCGGCCTTCATAGGTGCTCGCCAACAGCACTTGCCCCGACAGTCTGTTAAGGCTACACGGGGGATCTTTGTGCGCGTGTGCAACAGCACAAGCATCAACAGCCTTGTTAAAGGCTGCACGGCGGGGAATCTCTGTGCATGAGTGATGGCGTGCGTGTGTGTGTACGCGTGTTTACATTCGCGCGTGCGTGAGTGTGAAGGGGTCAGGGCCTCGCCGGTTCCACCCACAGACACCAAATGATTGATTACAAATCAGCGCTCTCCACTCTCCAAGACAAAGGCAAAGATCCCCCGTGTAGCCTTGAACAGACTGCAGGGGGCAAGTGCTATTAGCCAGTAGCACCTATGAAAGCCGACACGGCACACGAGGGGGTGGGTGGCCAGCAACCACGCTCCGGCCGCCTATATTAACACACCGAATCAGGTTACCCATTTAAGGCTGAGTCGACCTTGGAGACGCCCAGGACTGGTTTCAGATCTTCGTCACTGGTGTTGGCCGTGAGCGGGAATCGAACTCGGCTCGCCAGGCTCGAAGCGCAGCGCGCTAACCGCTACACTAACCGCTACGCTCCCCCAAAACACGCGCGCACACACGCACAGCCTCCTCGGCTTATTTATTGATTTAAATATCAAACAAATTATGAACTTCCCATCACGGAGGGATGTTGGCGTGTGCGTGTGTGCGTACGTGCGCGTGTGTGTTTGCGTGCGTGAATGTGCGTGCGTGTATGTGCGTGCGTGCGTGCGCGTGTGTGTGTGTTTGCGTGCGCGTGCGTGCGCGTGTGTGCGTGTGATTGCGTGCGTGTATGTGCGTGTGATTGCGTGCGTGTATGTGCGTCACCCGAGTTCCAACCAAGACGCCGCCACTGGGCGTGCTGCCGGCTACCCCAACCCCCTCGTGTGCCGTGCCGACCTTCGTGTCGGTGCGCGCTTTTGGAGCAGCACTTGCCCCATCAGTCGATAGATGGCTATACGGGGAAATCTTTGTTCTTGTGTATGCGTGTGCGCAACGCGTGTTTGTGTTGACACAAAGTGTGCACGCATTAGCCGGGGACGCGTTCGCCGTGACACTGCTGATGTTTCGTGGTCTCCAGAGTTAATCCAGAAGTGAGCCCCCCACAACCCCCCCCCCCTCCCTACGCCGCCCCCCCCCCCCCCACGATCTGCATTCACCCCCAGCTCTCACACACTCAGGGATCTGTATGCGCAGCGGCGTTAGCCGACACTAACCGATACTCCACTCTATTTATAGACGCCGGGACACAGACACTCGCGTGCACATGGACACACACACGTGCACACAGACACACACACGTGCATACAGACACACACACACGTGCATACAGAGAGACACACACGTGCACACAGACACACACACGTGCATACAGACACACACACGTGCACTCAGAGAGACACACACACGTGCACACAGAGAGACACACACGTGCACACAGACACACACACGTGCATACAGACACACACACACGTGCATACAGAGAGACACACACGTGCACACAGACACACACAGGTGCATACAGACACACACACGTGCACTCAGAGAGACACACACACGTGCACACAGAGAGACACACACGTGCACACAGACACACACACGTGCATACAGACACACACACGTGCACACAGACACATACACACGTGCACACAGACAGACACACACACGTGCACACAGACAGACACACACACGTGCACAGAGACACATACACACGTGCACACAGACAGACACACACACGTGCATACAGACAGACACACACAGGTGCATACAGACAGACACACACACGTGCACACAGACAGACGCACACACGTGCACACAGATAGACAAAGATCCTCCATATAGCCTTTAACAGACTGTTGGGGCAAGTGCTGTTAGCGACCGACCTATGAAGGCCGGCACGGCACACGAGGTGATGGGTGGCCAGCACCACGCTCAGCCGCCTTTGTCTCCCTAGTGGCGATGTTTACACACCGCACCAAGTACTCGGTTGAGGCTGAGTCGACCTAGCGGAAGCCCAGAACCCGTTCATACACTCGTATTGACCGTGAACGGGGAATCGAGTTCGGGTGGCCTGTGTTCAAACAAAATAGTAGCAGCAAATTTTACAATTAGGATCAGCCACACAAAAGCTGAACATCCCTCCCTCCACCCTCTACTGCAGCAATTTGTTGCGTTCTGCCAGGTAAGGGCCCCATTACGATATGTAGCTCACGTTCAGAAGCTACCTGGCTATCGCAAATGATAGCTCAACGAAGTGGCTCGTCATCACGTGGAAATGGACAGCAGCAGCAAAATACACGTGATGTTGACTCCAAATGTGGAGGGGGGAAAAAACATGTAGGCCTGGGAGAAAAATCGACGTGACCACGGGGAGAGTGAGAGAGACACGCAAACTCCAAATATACAGCAGGCGTCGGGGTCGGGATCGAAGCCACGATATCCTGCATACCAGGCGAGGGAGTTAACATATCCAAGCCACCGTGATGATGATGAAAGAGAGAAAACGCACACTCCAAATATACAGCAGGCGTCAGGGTCGGGATCGAACCCACGATATCCTGCATACCGGGCGAGGGAGTAAAGATCTCGACCCTTCTGGAAAAGAGTCTTGAGGCTCACTAAAGCCTTTGTTGGGTAAACCAAAGTCGTGGTAATAAATAGAAATGTAGCCGTTTTGTATATTGTTTAGCGGCTGAGAATATGCATCATGGACCGCGAGGTTAGAGTCGCTGTTTGGCAAATGTGCAAATGTTTGCCACTGTTAAACCGAGAGAAATTATTCTCGCTCGCTCTCTCTCTGTGCTGTCACGTGTTGTTTTTTTCTTGCAGTCGGAACTCATGCAACTGCGTGGCGTTTCGGGGAGGGGGGCTGTGGAGGGGGTGGTGATGGTGGTGGAGGGGGCGGGCTATTGAATTTGTATGCAAATTCGGGCGCATGTTTTGAAATGTGAAGGGAAGTTTTTATTCACCCCCCCCCCCCAAATATATTTTGCGGTGGAGAGCTGCACGTGTTCGTCTGTGTGCGTGTGTCTGTGGGGAGCGGTAGCGTAGCGGTTAGCCCTACGCTGCGCTACAAACCTGGCCAACCGGGTTCGATTCCCGCTCACGGACAACACCGGCGACGATTGCCTGAACCGGGGCCTGGGCCTCCCCTAGGTCGACTCAGCCCCAAATTGAGTACCTGGTGCGGTGTGCAGTAAACATCGCCACCAGGAAGACAAGCGCGGAAGGGCGTGGTGCTGGCCACCCACCCCCTCGTGTGCCGTTCCAGCCTTCATAGGTGCTCGCTAACAGCACTTGCCTCCAACGTATATGAAGGCTATACGGGGGTTCCTTGTCTTGGTTTTTTATGTTACCCAGACAGTCTGTGGAAAGCTGTGGGGGTGGGGGGGGTATTTGTTATTGTTGTGATGTGTGTGTGTGTGGGAAGGGTAGTGCAGTGGTTAGCGCAATGCACTACCAACCCAGCTACCCAAGTTCGATTCCCACTCACGAACAATGTCGTTGAACCAATACTATATATATAGAAACCGATCTCCATGTAATGTCGTCGATATATATGCTTCTGCGAGTCTCTATGGATCTCTACGCGAGTCTATGGATCTATGTGTCAGTCTATGGATCCCTACGCGAGTCTATGGATCGCACTGAGAGTCTATGGATGTCAGAGTGAGTATATTGATCTCAGTGCGAGTTTATGGATCTACGTGTGAGTCTATGGATCTCAGTGCGAGTCCATGGATCTAAGTGCGAGTCTATGGATCTTAGTGCGAGTCCATGGATCTCTACGCGAGTCTATGGATCGCACTGAGAGTCTATGGATCCCACAGTGAGTATATTGATCTCAGTGCGAGTCTATGGATCTACGCGTGAGTCTATGGATCTCAGTGCGAGTCTATGGATGTCAGAGTGAGTATATTGATCTCAGTGCGAGTCTATGGATCTACGCGTGAGTCTATGGATCACAGTGCGAGTCTATGGATGTCAGAGTGAGTATATTGATCTCAGTGCGAGTCTATGGATCTACGCGTGAGTCTATGGATCTCAGTGCGAGTCCATGGATCTCAGTGCGAGTCTATGGATCTACGTGTGAGTCTATGGATCGCAGTGCGAGGCTATGGACCTACGTGTGAGTCTATGGATCTCTACGCGAGTCTATGGATCCCACAGTGAGTATATTGATCTCAGTGCAAGTCTATGGATCTACGTGTGAGTCTATGGATCGCAGTGCGAGTCTATGGATCTTAGTGCAAGTCTATGGATCCCAGTGCGAGTCTATGGATCTACGTGTGAGTCTATGGATCTCTACGCGAGTCTATGGATCGCACTGAGAGTCTACGGATGTCAGAGTGAGTATATTGATCTCAGTGCGTGTCTATGGATCTACGCGTGAGTCTATGGATCGCAGTGCGAGTCCATGGATCTCAGTGCGAGTCTATGGATCTACGTGTGAGTCTATGGATCTCTACGCGAGTCTATGGATCCCACAGTGAGTATATTGACCTCATTGCGAGTCTATGGATCTACGTGTGAGTCTATGGATCGCAGTGCGAGTCTATGGATGTCAGAGTGAGTATATTGATCTCAGTGCGAGTCTATGGGTCTACGTGTGAGTCTATGGATCGCACTGAGAGTCTACGGATGTCAGAGTGAGTATATTGATCTCAGTGCGAGTCTATGGGTCTCTACGCGAGTCTATGGATCGCACTGAGAGTATATTGATCTAAGCGCGAGTCTATGGATCCCAGTGCGAGTCCATGGATCTAAGTGTGAGTCTATGGATCTAAGCGTGAGTCCATGGATCTAAGTGTGAGTCTATGGATCTAAGCCCGAGTCTATGGATCCCAGTGCACGTATATGGATCCCAGTGCGAGTCCATGGATCTCAGTGCGAGTCCATGGATCTAAGCGCGATTCCATGGATCTAAGCGCGAGTCTATGGATCTCAGTGCGAGTCCATGGATCCCAGTGCGAGTCTATGGATCTACGCGTGAGTCTATGGATCTCAGTGCGAGTCCATGGATCTCAGTGCGAGTCTATGGATCTACGTGTGAGTCTATTGGTCATAGGCTCTGGTGCAAGGAATTGGCAGGAGCATCCAGTACGCTCCTCCGGATTCGTGGGCTACCCTGGCGGAACTGCTGGGTGGGTGGCGGTGGGCTTGTTGCACCGCCTGCGCACTCTTTAACAATCATCTGTTGGAGAAAATAAAAGTTTTGCAGGCTGTCTGGCTGGCTGGCTGGTGGGTGGGGAGAGAAGGACGGATGGATTGTCACGTTGAAAGGAACGTGTGGGCTGCGAGTAACAACAACAATAATGATGATGATGATGAACCCACGTGTCTGTGCTGCTGCCGTGTGGCCTGTGTGGGTTCGTGTGGGTGGTGGCGTGGTTGGTGGTGGTGGGTGGTGGTGACGTGATTGGTGGTGGTGGGTGGTTGTGGGTGGTTGTGGTGGGTGGTGGTGGTGGGTGTTTATGGTGGTGGGTAGTTGTGGGTGTTTATGGTGGTGGGTGGTTATGGTGGTTATGGTAGTGGGTGTTTATGGTTGTGGGTGGTGGTGGTGGGTGTTTATGGTGGTGGTAGGTGGTGGTGGGTGTTTATGGTGGTGGGTGGTTATGGTGGTTATGGTGGTGGGTGTTTATGGTTGTGGGTGGTGGTGGTGGTGGGTGTTTATGGTGGTGGGTGGTGGTGGGTGTTTATGGTGATGGGTGTTTATGGTGGTCGTGGGTGTTTATGGTTGTGGGTGGTGGTGGGTGTTTATGGTGGTGGTGGTGAGTTTTTATGGTGGTTGTGGGTGGGTGTTGGTGGTGGTGGCTGGTGGTGTTGGTGGTGGGTGTTTATGGTGTTTATGGTGGTGGTGGTGAGTGTTTATGGTGGTTGTGGGTGGGTGTTGGTGGTGGTGGCTGGTGGTGTTGGTGGTGGGTGTTTATGGTGGTGGTGGGTGGTGGTGGGTGTTTATGGTGGTGGTAAGTGTTTATGGTGGTTGTGGGTGGGTGTTGGTGGTGGTGGCTGGTGGTATTGGTGGTGGTGGCTGGTGGTTATGGTGGTGGGTGTTTATGGTGCTGGTGGTTCTGGTGGTGGGTGTTTATGGTGGTGGGTGGTGGTGGGTGTTGTACCCACACAGACAAGCGCTGCGTGGAGAAGCGGTTCCTGCCGGCGCGGAGCCGCAGACTCACGGCCCTCGCCAGCTTCCCCGGCGCCGGCAACACGTGGACCCGCCACCTGATCGAGCTCGCCACGGGCTACTACACGGGCAGCTATTACTTCGACGGCTCTCTCTACAACAAGGGTGAGTCGGAGCAAGTGCTGGGGAGCGGGAGCGTGAATTAAAACTTTAAAACCAAAGTGTGTGTGTGTGTGGTTTTTTTTTCTGCCATGTAAGGGTCCCACTAAGCTGCCACGTAGCTATTTTCGACAAGCGACCGGGCGTTCACGAATGATAGCTCAACGAAGTGGCTTATCGTCATGTGTGGACATTCATAGCCACGCGCGATGTCGATTCTAAATGGGGAGGGGAAAACCCCGGGGGACCTGGAGAAACCTCCACGCGACCACGGGGAGAGAGGCACCGCAATCTCCAAATATGCAGCAGCAGCAGAAGTCGGGGTCGAGATCGAACCCACGACCTCCCGCACACCAGGCGAGGTAGTTAACATCTCATAGCCACCGTGATGATGATGAGAGAGAGAGAGGCACCGCAATCTCCAAATATGCAGCAGCAGCAGCAGGCGTCAGGGTCGAGATCGAACCCACGACCTCCCGCACACCAGGCGAGGTAGTTAACATCTCAGAGCCGCCGTGGAGCGCTACGAACCCGGCAGAGAACCGAGTTCGATTCCCGCTCACGGCCACCGAAACTCTAACACCCGCCCACCCCCCACCTCCCCCGCCCCCTGCCCCCCCCCACCTCCCCGCCCCTGCCCCCCCACCTCCCCCACCCCTTGCCCCCCTCCCCCAGGCTTCAAGGGAGAGAAGGATCACTGGCGTAGCGGGCGCACGCTCTGCGTGAAGACTCACGAGAGCGGGCGGCGTGAGATCGAGGCGTTCGACTCGGCCATCCTCCTCATGCGTAACCCCTACCGAGCCCTCGTGGCCGAGTTCAACCGCAAGTACGGGGGGCACCTGGGCTACGCGTCCGAGAAGAGGTGGAGGGGGAAAGGTGGGTGGGGGGGAGATGGTGGTGGGGGGGAGATGGTGGGGGGGGGGAGATGGTGGGGAGGGGGGGGGCTGTGAAGATTCATCGATTTGTCGATTAGCGTTGATTCTGACCTGACTTTACCCCCCTCCCCCCCACTCCCCTATCCCTTCACCTCTTCCATTACTCCGCTCACCCACCCCTTACCTCCCCCCTCCACCCCATCCCATCAACTCCTGGAGTGACTCACTCCCTCACCTCATCATTCCTCACCCACCACTCTCCCCTTCCCTCAATTCTTCGACTCATCACTGCCCCCCACCCCGCCTCCACCATCCCTCCCTCTCCCCCACCACCCCCTCCCCTTCCCCCCTCCTCATTACCGCCACACACCCCCCCCCCCCCATTATCCTTCTTCATCCTCCCCCCATCCTCATCACCCCCTCCCCACATCGTTCCTCCCTCTTCCAAATCCCCTCCGCCCTTCAATTCTTCAACTCGTCACCCCTCCCCCCCTCCCCCCCCCCTGTCCCCACGCCCCTGTCCCCCGTCCCGCGCGCAGAGTGGCCGGACTTCGTGCACAGCTACGCTCCCTGGTGGGTGTCGCACGCCCTCGACTGGCTGCGCTACGGGCCCCGCCGCCGCCTCCTCCTCGTGGTGCACTACGAGCGGCTACGCGGGGAGCTCCACGCGGAGATGCGGCGAATGGTCGCCTTCCTGGGCGCGCCACCTCTCGCCACGCAGCCGCCACAGCCGCACCACCACCACCACCACCACCGTCAACAGCAGCAGCAGCAGCAGCGACACAACCACCAGCACAACCAACAGCACAACCAACAGCACCACCAGCACAACCACCACCACCAGCACCACCACCACCACCAGCAGCAGCAGCAGCAGCCCGCTGTCTACTCCAACTCCACCACACCATCGTCATCATCATCATCATCATCGTCGTCGTCGTCATCTTCATCCCAGTCTCAATCCTCACCAACAGCGCCGCCGTCGCCTCTTCATCCTCCATCGTCGTCGTCGTCATCGCCCTCATCGACGCCCTCGTCCGCGGAGTCGCCGCCGTCAGCGTCAGCGGCGGCGCTGGAGGAGGAGGAGGAGGAGCGGCTGCTGTGCACGGAGGCTCACAGGGACGGGAGCTTCAAGCGCTCGGGACGCCGCAAGTTGGCCTGGGACCCCTTCACGGCGCCGATGCGGGCCGCCATCGACGGCTACATCCGCGTGGTCAATGACGCTCTCCTCTCGGGGGGCCACGGGCCCCTACCCAGCGAGTATTGCTGCCCCCCCAGATGATGCGAAGCAGACGGACGTGTGGAGACGAAGGCAAAGATTCTCACTCCCCCCCCCCAACCACCACTCCCCCCCACCACTCCCCCCACCACTCCCCCCCTCCCACTCCCCCCCCCACTCCCCCCCACCACTCCCCCCCCCCACTTCTCCCCCCCCCCACTTCTCCCCCCCCCACTTCTCCCCCCCCCACTTCTCCCCCCCCCCACTTCTCCCCCCCCCCACTTCTCCCCCCCCCACTTCTCTCCCCCCCACTTCTCCCCCCCCACTTCTCCCCCCCCCCACTTCTCCCCCCCCCCACTTCTCCCTCCCCCCCACTTCTCCCCCCCCCCACTTCTCCCCCCCCCCCCCACTTCTCCCCCCACTCCCCCATGTTGCCTTTAAAGAGACTGCTGGGGGTGGGGTGGTCACGGTGCTGTGAGTAAGGAGCGCGTGGTACGGGGCGTGACGGCGGCGGTGGTTCCTGTTGGTGGTCAGCGCCGACGCCCGGCCGCCTTTGTCTCCCCAGTGGCGCTGTCGTATCACCGGGTGCTCACTTGAGGCCCAGGACCCGGTTCAAATATTCGCCACACTGCGAGCAGGAATCGAACCTCGGCCTTGCGGGTTCGAGGCGGCAGGGCGCTTAGCGCAAAGACAAAGGTCCCCCGTATAGCCAGCTCCTTGGGGCAAGTGCTGTTTGCGAGCACCTCCACAAAGACACATATCCCCCGTATAGCCTTGACGGACTGTTGGGGCAAGTGCTGTTCTGGAGCACCTAATGAAGGCCGGCACGGCACACGAGGGGGTGGGTGGCCAGCACCACGCCCTGCCGCCTTTGTCTCCCCAGTGGCGATGTTTACACACCGCATCAGGTACTCGTTTGAGGCTGAATCGACCTAGGGGAGGCCCAAGACCGGTTGAGATCATCGTCACCGATGTTGGCCGTGACCGGGAATCGAACTCGGGTCGCCGGGTTCGTAGCGCGATACACCGACACACACACACTACCACACAACAACAACAACCGCCATTCGCCACTAAGTGGTGGTGACGTCACCACGACGCTTGTGCCAGGCTATGTGCACCGTGATGCCACGTGAAGTGTCGAACGCCCACTGGCAGGTCACTGGGCAGACCCAGGTGCCACGGGTCGACTGACTGAGATGACTGGCTGATGCACCACCTGTGCCCCCTACTGTGCCAATCTGCTGTGCTTTAGCCACCCGGCGCTCCGCTCGTTGTTCTGAGCGTCGCTCCTCCACCCTCCGTTGTTGTTGGAGGGCGACTGCCTCCAACTGCCCAGTGGCATCCTTCACGAGCCTCCTCCACAGAGGCCGATCTTGACACCGCTGGTACCAGTCATCGGCAAGTCCACTCAGCTCCACGTCCTCCTGTACCACATCACTCCATCTCTTCTCTAGCCCGTGCCGCGCCCGCTTAGCCCCCTCAATCCGGCCAAACAAAAGCTGTTTCGGCATGCGGTGGCTGGGCATGCGGGCTACATGGCCCAGCCATCGCAGCCTTGCCTGCCGGAGGCGCTCACCGATGGGACCCTGCCCAGATTTTTCAAGGATTTGTGAGCTCCTCACACAATCCAGTCTGGTTAAACCCAGGATGGATCGTAGGCAGGCCAGCCTAAATGTTTCTAACCGGCGAAGATGTTCCATTAGGGGGGTCCACGTTTCGCAAGCGTAGAGAAGGGAGGGAATGACCGTGGCCGAGAAGACCTGAAGCTTAGTGCGGAGCGACAGACCAGGTAGCTTCCACACAGCGTTACGCAACCGATGAAAAGATATTGCCGCTCGACTGATTCGGAGTGAGACCTCTGCTGTTAAACTGGAGCCAGTCATAAGCACACTGCCCAGGTATGGGAAACTCTCCACAACTGCCCCATCACCGATTGGGAGTTGTGGGGGTGGAGTGTCCGATGGTACAAAATACCCAGGCAGGTGCTTAGTTTTGGTGGGGCTGATGGTATGGCCCCACCTCTTAGTGGCACGCTCCAGTCTCAGCAGCAGCGTCTCCAACTCCTCCTCTGACTGAGCAGCTATTACCAAATCATCAGCATACATAACGTGGTTGACCAATAGGGAGCCATCCCTTGACCGCACTACCACACACACACACACACTACCACACACACACACTACCACACACACACTACCACACACACACACTACCACACACACACTACCACACACACACTACCACACACACACACTACCACACACACTACCACACACACACTACCACACACACACTACCACACACACACTACCACACACACACACTACCACACACACACACTACCACACACACACTACCACACACACTACCACACACACACACTACCACACACACACACTACCACACACACTACCACACACACACGCTCACACACACACTACCACACACACACTACCACACACACACACTACCACACACACACTACCACACACACACACTACCACACACACACACTACCACACACACACTACCACACACTACCACACACACACAGATCTGGCTTGGGCGCTTCTCGAATGGGGGGGCGGATAGCGTGTGGGGGGGAGGGGGGCCATGTCAGTGATGACGCAGAGCGCCCCCCACCACTAACGCCGGCCCCGCCCTCGCCCCCCTCTCTCCGACACCTACGTCAACAACCAAACACCGATACCCACACCAATACCCACACCGATACCCACACCACACCGGTACCACACATCACACCGGTACCTACACCACACTGATACCCACACCGATACCCACACCGATACCACACATCACACCGGTACCCACACCACACTGATACCCACACCGATACCCACACATGCCTCCCCCCCCACTCCCCACCTCCCAGACATGAATCTGGTCTGGTTATTCGCGTTGTGAATGTGACATGGATCAGTGGTGGTGCAGGTGGTGATGGCACAGGTGGTGGTGCAAGCAGTAGTGGTGTATATGGTGGTGGTGCAGGTGATGATGATGGTGGTGGTGCAGGTGATGGATTTTAATGCGGAATTTACTGTGCTGTGTTGTTGAGCGAACACCACTTTTGTGTGGTTGACATACGGATGGATCTGCAGGGCTGTCGTTCATGATCCTTGGTAGTGATATGAATCACGGATGATGATGATTATTGGCAGTGGTCACAGAGTGGGGAGCGGTAACTGTTGCAGTCAACATGCTGCGCCATGAACCTTGTCCATTGTGCGGTGTGTAAACATCACCACTGGGAAGACAAAGGCGGCCGGGGGTGGTGTTGGCCACCCACCCCCTTGTGCGCCGTGTGGGCCTTCATATGTACTTACTGACAAACAGCACTTGCCCTGACAGTCTGTCAAGCCTGTATGGGGGATCTTTGTCTTTGGGTGGTCCTATGACTCTGTGGCTGTATTTGAATACTGAATTGACTGCCCTATGTTGCCGATGGATGAGTTTTTTTTATACAGATATTTGGTTGAGAATGCTGATCATGATGATGCTGATGATTCAATTCTCTCTCGATGGCTGCTCGTAATGGTATGGTGATGATTTGATTGAAGCATGATAATAATGATTATCATAATAATGCTTATCATGCTGATTGTGACTGATGCATGCTGATGATGATGATTGTTATCATGTTAATCACGGTGGTGGGGGTGGTGGTTATTGGTGCAAGTTGGCGAGTTAGCACACTGCGCTATGAACTCGGCGACCCGAGTACTATTCCAGATCACCGCCAATCACAGTGGCGAATATGTCAACCGGCTCTGGGCCTCCACTAGGTCCACTCAGCCTTTAACGCGAGTACCTGCTGCGGTGTGTAAACACATCGGCACTGGTGGATACAAAGGCGGCCGGGGCGGTGCGTGGTTTTGGCCACCCACATCCAGTCGTTGTGAAACTCGCTAACAACACGTGTGCCCCAACAGACTATTAAAAGCTATACGGGGGGATGTTTAGCTTTGGTCGTGGAAGTGATGGAGGAGGTGGTGGTGCTGGTGGTGGTGGTGGTAAGTCAGTTTGAGTCATTGGGAACTCTCGTTTTCGCGCACTCTTATACGAGTCCAGTCCATCACGAATGCGCACAGGTGTGTGTGTGTGTTGGTTACATAACTACGCTGGGATTGTATTTTAATACTGAATTCGCTTTGTGCTATGTTGTTGATGGGGGTATGGTTTTTAACAGAGGTGTGGTCGATGGTTATGATCATTGCATTACGTTTCTTTTTTTTGCTTGCTGCTAATAATTATTGGTGATGACTGCTGGTTGGTATGATCGATGGGCGAACTTTCTCATGATGCCCGTGGTGGTGGCGGCGGTGGTGAAAATATTAAACTGGGTTGGATTTAAACTCTTCTCTGACTGTGCTATGTTGTTAGTACTGTCGTTGACATCCCTGTGATTGTACCGACCTTAGATTAATGGTGATCGAGCATCTAATTATTTATTATTGATGGTGAAAGCTGACGTTGACTGATGGTGATTGGTGATGTTGGGGATGATAATTGACGATCATGATGCTATAATCACCATAACTCTGACTGATGAATGATGATGATGATGATCATCATCATGGTAATTCATTAACTTAATTTGTTTAATTTCAATAGCAAATTACACAATTGCTCATCCCGAATGACAGTAATGCAACAACAGCAATAACGTCAAAAACACGTAGGTAAAATAAAATAAAAGAGAACGAGTTAATTGTTCTATTTTATTTTACCTACGTGACTTTACCGAAAAAAACAAAAAGTATGAATCCTTGCAGTCACGAAAGCTTCAAATCTAGAACGTCAAAAACATTACAAAACCTGTCAATCACTTGACTCTTCGAACACTTGCGTCAATAATTGAAACTTTAACACTGACAAGATGAAAGATCACAACCTCAGAGATGTCCAAGGATCACTCGACCCGCAGAACTTTCAACTCTGAATAAAGTTGCGCAGCAGACACGGACGCACGAAGTACTGTCGACAATCCAGTGCACACACTCCGTGTGTTTCTCGCTGTCGAATTAAAACTCGATACCACGTGCAACTCGCTACCACGTGGAATACGGTCACACGTGGAACTCGCTACCACGTGAAATTCGTAACCACGTGGAATTCGTAACCACATGC